ATCTTGTATCGATGACAAAGACCATGCTTGATGTCGAGCTGCCATGTCGAGAGGAGTAGAAGTTGTTGTGGCCTAACCAAATTTGAACTATTTAATTTTACAAACACACACACACATAGACATATGTATGCATATATAAGTGTAGGAAAACATTAATAACTTATAAATTCTATTAAAAAAATTACCTGATTAGATGTGTTTGTCAAGTTATTCGGAGGATGCTGAACATGGGAAGCTTTGGACCTTAGCTCCGAATTTTCACCTTCCATAACATCCATTGTTGTGTCTTGGTTTGCTTTATGACCAGATGTATCTCTCCATAAATTAGACGGGGAGACACCTAATCCATACATGCGAACTCGTCCATGTTTTTCTTTACCCATCACTTGTCCAAATGCATCATTTGGGCCCTTATTCGATAAATTTGCATTTAAGGTTGTCCTCTTATTCATTTCATCCTATAAGGTTGCAAAAAACATAACTTAATATATACATTTCAATAACTCAACACTATAACGTGGAAATTTTAACTAATCTACAAGTTCAAATGGACATATAATTATTTGGTACATACTATCATTGCTTTCATTGCCTCAGGGGTTCCAGTCTCCTTTGTATAACATACTTTAAACATGTGAGCAGGAGTTGGAGAGTGTCCCAACTTCTTTTTCTACAAAATAATATATTCCAAAATATAAATTATATCATTCTATCACATTATGTATACCTTATCATATTAAATATACAACATGAAAAGATGAATTAACCTGCTCCTTTCGAACACGTGGAAAACTTTTTGTTCCAGTAATATGATTATACTTTCGCTCTGCACGACTTGCTTTGTTCTTATCACTTTGTGCCTAAAATTACAAATGCATAAATTAATGGTGTCCAAATTACAACAAGTAAAATAACATATAATGATCAGATTGAGTATACCTTTACTTCTTCGATGGCTTAATACTTAATAAGGTGTTCCCACTTATCAACATATACTCTACTATCTTTATAATACTTTTGTTGGTCAAAACTCAAGTGGTTCTTATAATAATTTTTCTTTATGTTTGCCTTCCAGTCTTTTAACTTCTTACCAGAGCACTTCATAACCCACTTCCTAGCATGACTTGGAAGATCAAACTTTGACTGAAAAGAGAGAGAAAAAGAGCAAGCGAGAGAGAGAGAAGAATACAATGATAAAAAATTAATCTTCCCACATAAAAAATTAAAAATAAACAAAATTATAAATAGTGTTGTTTTAATCACATTACTCATGTTTACTATTTTTCACATGTGATCATCTTTCACACAATATTATGTCATTTACCTATACAAGTGCCCATATGTGATCTTTGTAATGTTCTGGGACTTTATGCCAATTCTTGTAAATGAGTGGTGCATTTTTCCCATCACGCACAATAGTTCCAATGAACGATGATAACTTAGTTGCCAATTTGTCATCAGGTTGGCCAAGTTTGTTCCAATTGACTGTTAGGCGCTCATCATCACGAGTACCCCAAATATTACACATTTGAGTGGGACCTCTAGCCTTCTTTTGTCCACTAGCACCATCTAGTTATAAAAAATAAATAAATAATAATACGAAAAATAAATTATATTCAAAGAAATAATAACATTTTTATAAGGTTTGAACTTGCATACCTGCATTATCATTGGGTTGACTAGAATTTGGTTGTATCTCAGATGGAGTTTACTCACTAAACTCACCAACATTGCCTGAGCGAAACTGAAGATATGGGTCCATAGGCTTTTTGCTTTATAGATGAATCCTAGTATGATTCAAGTAAAATAGACAAATCAAATTGTAAACTTAGAATGATCCAAATAATTTATCTGCAAATGAACAAAATACTTGAAGAAAATTAACAAAAAAAAAATTGTGAATTCACCTTTATTGCATTGCTATCTTGGTAGTGACTAAATGTAACATATAATGAATAAATATTTTGTAGCCACATATGAAAATCTCATAGTTAAATTACAAAGGCATTATTCATTCTTCAAACAATCAAACTAAATTAACAAAAACAATGATAAAGAAAGAGAACAAAATGAAACTATAGAATTGTTTTCAAATATAAATAACTAGCAATGTTCAATAAGTTTAACAGACACATAAGATCTAATTCTTCCTCATCTCTATCATCATGAACATCGTTGTCTCTCAATACCTGAGAAAGTGGTGCATCTACAATTGCAACAGACATGTCTGTCTGAACTAAATCAAAATTATTGTCCCCATCACCACTTTGTGTATTGCATACAACACTCTGCAGGTATGCCTCCACATTGTCCACAAAAGACCCCGCATTCATATCATAAAAATCTCTCGAATTTATCTTGATAGCAACTTGTCAATCTTTGTGTTTCAGGTCTTCTACATACATTACCTGTTCTGCTTGAGAAGGCAATACAAAAGGCTCAGCATCTTTCATTAATCGTGCAAAGTTGACTAGTGTGCAATCTTTATCTTGTCTTTTCCCTGTTTGTGACACCCATTCACCTTTAAATAACACGACCCTCCTCCCAAACAAATAATCTAACTCAATTATATCTGTTAACACACCATAAAATGTAACATCTCCAGAGACTGGATTTCCATCTCTACCACTTGCAAAGCTTCGTGTTTTTGTCGTGACAATAATCCCACTATTTTGAGTTTTTCTCTTTCGCTCGATCTCCTTAGTATGGAACCTAAAACCATTTATCAAGTATCACTTATATTTTGTGAAAATTCTATTTGGACCATGAGCCAAACATCTAAGCTCTTCAGTTATTTGACTATCCCCTGCATTATGCAATTCCTCAACCTGTTTTCAGACAATTGACGACATAACTTTTGTAAGTGTGGAATGAAATTGAAGTTAATATCAAATTAAATTTTAAGGAACTTCAAAACACTGCTTACATGTTTATCAAACCATGTTGGAAATGTTTCACTATGAATGCGATCAATGGCCATTTCACGAAGACGTGGATTTTGTATGGCAACAAGTCTACGGTGTTGTCTGTATGCCATATAAAAGATTTGTGAGTGTGTGAAAAAAGTATGTAAAATAATAATAATAATAATAATAATAATAATAACAATAATAATAATAATAATAATAATAATAATAATAATGAAATTGATTACAGATGTCGAGTGTCTTACTCAATAAATTTGTTGACTGTCTCACAATTAAATAGCACATATTGATGTGCCTTTTCTTTTGTGCCATCATCCATTGTGTCTATCACGCCCTTACCTAATGGTCGGCCAGGCATTGAGAAAATAGAAAATCCTTCGGTGCCATTACCCCCTCATCATAATTTCAAGACATCCGGTTGAACCGTGTCTCAACATCTTCCATATACCTCGAGCAAAATGTCAAGCATTCATTTGCAAGGTATCCTTTCGCCAAACTACCCTCTAGTCGACTTCTATTTCATACATATGACTTTAATCTACTCAAGTACCTATGTTTTGGAAAGTTTAAAAAACAAAATTTTAACTCAAGTTCGATAATAACAAAAGTAAAATATAATAGTGATGGTAAAGAAATATGTAATTTAATATAAACATTACCTCTCAACAGAATACATCCAACGATAATGCACAGGTCCTGTTAATCTAGCCTCAGATGCTAAGTAAACCACCAAATGCACCATAATGTCAAAAAAGTCAGGGGGAAATATTTTTTCAAACTTATAAAGTGTTATCGAAATTTGCCTTTCAAGACGCATAAAGTCTTGTGCCAAACCAACTTTAGAACATAACTCTCAAAAGAAATTACTCAACTCAATCAAAGGTGAAGTTACATGTGAACTCAACATTCCTCGAATTGCTAAAGGGAGTAATTATTGCATCAAACTATGGAAATCATGACTTTTAAGTCCAAAGATTCTACGTTGCTTTAAGTCGATGCATCGTGAAATATTCGCTGCATAACCATCAGGAACTTTAACAGTCTTCAAAAAATTTACAAAAAACATCTTTTTCTTGTTTCTTTAATCAGAAACAATAAGGAGGCAAGATGGTTTTATTTGCTGCATTTTCTTTTGGATGGAGTTCAGGCCTTATACCTTGAAGTTTCAAGTCAAGACGCGCATTTAAATTATCCTTTGTCTTCCCCTCTAAATTTAGTAGTGTTCCAAGCAAGCTCTCACATACATTTTTCTCAATGTGCATCACATCAAGATTGTATTCTTCCAATTATATGGTAATTCTGGATTAGTACTCATCTTTCCATAAGTGATATTGAAGCCATGTAACATATCCAATACCATAGAACCAGTTAAAGGATTGGGTCCAGTTCTTTTTTCTTTAGTACCATCAAAAGATCGCTCATCATCTCGAAATGCATGATGTTCGTCCAAGAATCGACGATGACCCATGTAACAATGTTTTTGGCCATGCTTCAACCACTGGAAGCATGTGTCTTTGTGGCATGAAAGGCATGCATACTTCCTCTTACTACTCCACCCTGACAAATAAGCATAAGCAGGGAAGTTGCTGATAGTCCACATTAATGCTGCACGCAACTGGAAATTTTGTTTAATTGATGCATCATATGTCTCTACTCCATCCACCCATAATTCCTTTAATTCATCTATTAAAGGTTGCAAATACACATCAATATTATTTCCAGGTGCACTGCGACCAGGGATAATCAATGATAATAGAAAATTGGTCTCCTCCATACACATCCATTGAGGCAAATTATATGGTATAAGAATTACAGGCCAGGTGCTATACGTGCTGCTCAATGTTCTGAAAGGGTTCACACCATCACACGCCAACCCAAGTCTGACATTTCTACAATCTACTACGAAATTAGGATGTAGGTGATCAAAAGTCATCCAAGCTGGAGAATCAGCAAGATGTCTCATACAACCATCATTGGTGCGACCTTCTTTATGCCACTTCATAGATGATGTTGTTTTGGATGACATGAATAACCTTTGTAGCCTTGGTATCAAAGGAAAGTAATGTAGAACCTTAGAAGGTGTTTTATAGCTGTCTTTTTTAGAGGATGCCTTGTTGCCTGAATCGTTTTGCTCTGTTACATACCTAGATATATGGTAAACATAACATTCAGAATCAGTTTTGTGCTCATTCCTACACAACATGCAATCATTGGGACATGCATGAATTTTCTCATAACTAAGTCCTAACTCCATGACTATCTGCTCAACTTCATAAACAGTATTAGGCAGTGTTACACCCTCTGGGAATGCCTCCTTCAATAACTCTAATAACATGGTGAATGATTTATTACTTCATCCGCCTAAATTCTTGATATGAAATAACTGAATGATGAATGAGAGCTTTGTAAAATTCCTACATTGTGGATAAAGCTCCTTTTGTCCATCATGTATCAACTTGTAGAACTTCTCTGCTTGTGGATTTGGTTTATCTCCTAGATCTTTAGGGTTGTCTCCATCGACTCTATCATCGTCATTTGAGATTCCAAATGCCTCGTGTACTAACCCATGTGTATCAATATTTAATTGTGGCATATTCAGCATGTGCGTATCAAGACCTGTTGCAGCAACAGATGATGCTTCACCATGTAAAACCCATTCAGTGTAACCCTTTGTGAAGCCATCACATACTAAATGATCATATGCAACTGATCGAGTGACGGGAAGTGTAAGTCCACACTTGATGCATGGACATATGATCTTATCCTCATAACTTGCATTAGTAAATGCAAAATCGAGAAACATGTCAACTCCTTTCTGGTATGCATCACTTAATCTTGATCGATACATCCATGTCTTATCCATAAGTAAACAATCTCGATTAAACAAGTGTCCAAAGTATTTCTAGAACATTCAAACATGCATATATCAATAACAAGTATTTGAAAGTTATGATTGACAAAAACAACTAAACTTGATTTTGCAAAAACTATAAGATACTAACAACAATGAATAATATAACATATTCAATAGTCTTGGGTAGGGCCTAGGGCATGCCCCTTGTATGTTGTGTAAGCTTTTTGTTTTTAATTTATGACTTACTTACCCAAAAAAAAATCTACCTCCAGGCAAGGATGTTATATGTTATTCTGTAAGCTAACTGTTGCAAGTATGGCTAGCCTCTTTTAGGAAGTGTGTTGAGTGATGAGAACCATATAGATAGGGAGTGAGTAATCTACAAAGCTTTGTGGGTTGTGTGATGTAAGCCCTCAAATGGTTTTCTTATGGTTGGGCATGCAGGTTGATCTGAATTGTTCTAATATGCTTCTAAAACTGAGTATTAGACTACTATGTAATTGTGAGTGTAACATGCTATTCAATTGGGGGGGAGATGTACGTTTGAATTAAATTATTTATGAGAATATTCCAATATTTGTCCTAAAAGTATCATAAGTTATTACAGTCTAGTATCTTATAGCATCTAACTGGACTTTTCCTTTTCCACTTTTTGGGAATATTCTGAATGGTACGATCTGTTTTGTGTATCCAAAGATGTCAGCCTTCTTACCTTAAGGAGAGAAAAATAAATAAATAATTTGTTTTTGTCTTCTTCCACCTTTATTGATATATATATATATATATATATATCTTGTGTTTTTTGTCTCATTTTATGAATTCATATATTATTTCATAACAATTCATATCTCTGAATGCAGCCGTACCCACATCTGCACATTCGCAACAAGGAGTTCCCTTGGGGCATGTTATTTATTCCTTTGTGAGGCCTTAAATCTAATGGTCATTTAATTTTCTTCTTAATGGTATTTGGATCAATTGATTTTATCCTTTTTGGTAACAGTTTATATAGGCTCTAACCATATTTAATTTGGCACTCAAGAGATTGCTTTTTAAGTTTAAAAAAAGAGTTCTTTTATTTGGATTTTTTGTGTTTATCGCTGCATTTGACACAACAATTTGAATATCATTGGTTGCTTTGTCTTCGATTCGATAGATTACATGGAATAATGATCTACCATAGAGGGGCACTTAAATTTAAATTTCAACTAGGACCATGGTTTAAATTTATTTTTGTTGATTATCTCATACTACGAGTATTATGGTGTAGAGTTGTAGGTTGAAGCCACCGACATTTAGCCATCCTTCCATTACTAGCACCTAAGCACAGCACATAGTAATAGCTAAACATGTAAGCACCTAAGCTCCCAACTCAGTCATTCAGCCATCATTTCATTACTAGCACCTAAGCACAGCAGCCTAGCATAAAACAAGAAAAACCCCAAAAAAACCAAAAGACAGCAGCAAGCATCCCAGACCAAAGACAGCATTCTAGAGAGCTACAGACCAGAGACAGTAACCAAACAGATCAATAGACCCAAACAGCTGCATACTAGATCAACAGATCAAACTCCAAATCAGACAAATCAACAGATCAACAAAGCATACTCTCCAGCCACAAAATATATCAACCATCTAACTTACAGAGCTAGCATACTCTCCCAGACCAAAAGCAGACCCAGACAGCTGCATACTAGATCAACAAATCAAACTCCAAATCAAACAGATCAAACAGATCAACAAATCATACTCTTCAGCCACAAAATAGGTCAACCATCTAACTTACAGAGCAAAACAGAACAACCTTTATGTCTGTTGGATTTTTGCAAAACATATCAACATATCAAAGTTGATAGATAATGCAAAAAAGATCAACAGATCCGTAAACATAACATGCAGACTCAATTGCAGTCCCTAAAAGTATGATCTGTTACTTGATTCCTTACTTATTGCAAACACCACCTACCTCTAGTATCACTACAGCATCCCCAAAACATGCACCACAAAAACAACATTTATACTTCTGCACTAAATAGCAGCAAACAAACCTTGCAGCTTCACTACTACTAACAAACCTTGTGATTGCTAAATATATGTGCACATGTATGTTGTTAGATGATGCTGTTAAAGTTCAAACAACACGTTTGCATGTGGGTTTATATCGTGCGTTAAGAATTTTTTTGTTCCACTTAATTGCATGGGTTGTGAGAGGTTGCAGCCTTTTCTTTGTTTTTTTTTTCTCTTAATTATTTTTAGCAGTATTTTTTTAACTCAAACTCTTCAGACACAATTAACGGTGACATTTGTTGAATCTTTTATGATATGTGCAAGTCCTGATGGCCTTTTTGAGACTAAGCATCATCATTGATCTTCGAAGGCCAAGATTGTGAGGATGTATCTAGGAATAATGATTGTTCAGCTCAATTCAACGTGTGCCATCCGGAAATTTACTTTTTGAGACAAACTTTAAAATCTCCATGACTATTTAATGTCAAGACCTTCCCATTATGGAAACATGGTTTTGGGGATGCATGTTGCAGGTTGTTGGTTATTTTTGTGTTTCTTCTTTTTGTCACTTTGTTTTTCGTATTCTGTTTGCTGCGAAATAAGGTATTATGAATAGGATGTGCTCTTTTGAGTTCATTGGTTTA